CATATGTAAAATGTACCCTTATTCTATTCAGAATAAAAAACTGAAATATTTTTGTGGCTTATATTTCAAAGATACTGAATACAGAGGTGACATTGTGGTGCAGAAAGTTAAATGCTTTGGATGCCTGCATCCCATATTGGAGTACCTGGGATGTAGCTTCCTGCAAATGCACACCCTGGAAGGCGGCAGATGATGGCTCAAGTACATGGGTCCCGGCTGGCGCCACGGTTCACTAGGCTAATCCTCCACCTACGGCGCTGACACACCGGGTTCTAGTCCCAGTCTGGGCGCCGGATTCTGTCCCGGTCGCTCCTCTTCCAGGCCAGCTCTCTGCTGTGGCCCGGGAGTGCAGTGGAGGATAGCCCAGGTGCTTGGGCCCTGCACCTGCATGGGAGACCAGAAGGAAGCACCTGGCTCCTGGCTTCGGATCAGCGCGATGCGCTAGCCGCAGTGCGCCGGCCATGGCCTTTGGGGGGTGAACCAATGGAAGGAAGACCTTTCTCGCTCTCTCACTGTCCACTCTGCCTGTCAAAAAAAAAAAAAGTACATGGGTCCCTGCCACCCATGTGGGAGACCCAGATAGTTCTGGGCTCAAGGATTTGGCCTGGTCCAACCTTTGCTACTGCAGTTATTTGAGGAAATAAACTTTTTTTCAAGCAATGCTGAATACATATCTTGTAGATTTATACCTGAGAAGCATAATGCATTTTTTCTCATCCTGAGAACATTTATTCCTTAAATATATATATACACATAGGAGCAAAATGTGTCAAGCAAAGTGAAAGATAAACTGTTTTCCCTTCAAAATCATTTTGCTGACAAGGTAAAAGACTCACTGAAATATGCACAGGGTGGTGTGCACTGATAGAAGCAGGATTTCTTTGGTAACCAGGAAATGTAAAACACACCCAAACTCCTCACTCCACAATTCACATCACTCATGCTGAGGTCCCAGAGACAGAACCCATCGGCAGGCAGAGCCAGCTAGCAGACTCTCTGACAGCACTGCCCTAGCACAGAGCTATGGTAGAGCAGCACAGCAGGTTAAAGCTATGGCCGGAAGCCCATGTGGGGGCCAGTTTGAGTCCCAGCTGCTCCATTCCCAATCCAGCTCCCTGCTCATGCCCCTGAGAAAGCGGCAGAGGACAGCCCAAGTTCTTGGGGCCATGCACCCACAGCGGGGACCAGGAGGATGCTTCAGCCTGGCCCAGCTTTCTCTAACTCTGCCTTTCAAATAAATACAAAAATCTAAAAAGAAAAAAAAAAAAAAGACAAACCTAAACTTTATAAACCAAAAAAAAAAAAAAAAAGAAGAAGAAAAAGAAACAAAGCAGACCTTTTGCTGTATGTTGAACTGTGTCCCCCAATAAGATATGTTTAATCCTAACCAGCAGCTACTGTGGATGTGACCTTATTTAGAAATAGGAGCTTGGTGGATGTAATCAACTTAAGATGAGGCCATTAGGCCGGGCCCTAATCCAATGACTGATGTCACAAATGAGGGAAATTTGGGCACAGAGACACGGAGGGCAGGTGGCCCTGTGAAGAGATCAGAGTCTCATAACCCACAAGCCAAGGCACCCCTGGAAGGGGCAGGGGAGGACCCTTTGCAGGAGTAGGGCTCTGCTATGGGAATAAACCACTTCCGTTTAGGCCACCCAGTTTGTGCACTTGCTACGGCAGCCCTGGGGGCACTAATACAGCTCTCACCATCATGTGGTAGAGATAAAGAGAAGGAAGGAAGGGAGACAGGCAGCCAGGCCGATGTGATTTTTAGGCTGATTTGGGCTATTAATTATCTCCCCAAGGATTCACAGTGGATTCAGAAATTGCCACAAAGGTTCTCCGTTCTAAGGAGGGCATGTCCCTTTCCATATCATCTCATCTTCTGGAGGAATGCGCCTATTCCGTAGTGGGAAGGAAGGTATAAAACCAACACAGGAGGGCTGGTATTGTGGCGCAGTGGGTTAAGCCGCCACCTATGACAACAGCATCCCATATGAACATCAGCTCAAGTCCAGGCTGTTCCACTTCTGGTCCAGCTCCTTGACAATGCACCTGGGAAAGCAGCAGCAGATGGCCAAGTACTTGGGCCCCTGCACCCATGTGGAGACCTGGAAGAACCTCCTGGCTCCTTGCTTAGGATCAGCTCAGCTCTGGCCATTGTGGCCATCTGGGGAGTCAAACAGCAGATGGAAGACTTCTCTCTCTATAATTCTGCCTCTTAAATAAATAAATAAATCATTTTAAAAAATAAAAAAAAACTAACAGTTTATAATCCCCTCTCTTTACATTTCAAATACATAAGATAGAGTTTAAAGATATATAACATAAATATATAACAGACTATATATATTAACAATTTTTATCAAATATAAAATATGATATAAAAATAAGAGCTTAATATAATTAAATATACATATTAAATTGGAGAACTATATGTCATTTGTCAATATGTCACAGAGACTAAAACTTGAAAGGCAGATAACTTGATAAGACTGTTCTAGATAAGAACAAATTACCCTCCTGTGGTTCTAATCCTATGACAGAATTTAAATCCTGTACCAATAAAAGCTTCAAGCTCCACTTATATCCCTGGGTCAGGTGGAAAAACACACTTCGAAAATGGAGGCCTCAAAGTGGGTGGTTAAGATAGTAAGATGCGGGCAGCCCACACTGCAGGGCCTGCTCTCCACTCCCGGACCCAGCTCTCAGCTCCTGAATCCAGCTTGCTGCTAAGGCAAACCCTGGGAGGCAACAGGGATGGTATAAATAATTGGGTTCCTGCCACTCATGTGGGACATCTGAATTTGGTTCCTGGCCCCTGACTCTGGTTCCAGCCCAGCCCCAGTATGGGTATGTGGGGAATGAACAAGTAGACGGGCATGCCCTCTGTGCATCTTTCTCTTCCTCTCTCTGCACCTTTTAAAAGGAAGGAAGGAAGGAAAGAAGGAAGGGAGGGAGGGAGGGAGGAAGAAGGAAGGGAGGAAAAAGGAAGGAAGAAGGAAGGAAGGAAGAAAAAAGGAAGGAAGAAAGGAAGGAAGAAGGAAAGAAAGAAGGAAAGAAAAAGAAATGGAGGCCTCCAACACACAGGAAGTCCAGTAGGTTTATCTGCTTAAATAGAAGTGTGCTAGCTTCAACTTCCAGAGGGTTGCAAGCACCACCATAAAATTAACTGTGACATTATTTACATATGCTAATTAAACATAATTTGTATTCCCTGGGATTTTAGAGAAAAGGTGTGCTAATTTAAACTCTTGTCCTAAGCCCAATGATGTAGCAGGTAGAGTATATTTTATTCAAAAATGTCTTTCACAAGCCTTGACAAGGAACATAATTTAGATCAAAAACTGACAAAATACAGTCTTAAAAGAAAACTAAAATTGAATTCTCTACAAGAAAAGAAGTAAAACTCCAGGACATCTTATGCACATCAGGAAAATGCTATCATATTTCAATATCACTGCCATCATCCACTAAATTTAGAAAATTATTGCAATTTCACAAGTAGGGATTATTCACAAACATATTTTTTTCCTGAGCCACGCTGGGTAGAGCTGTCATCTCTAAGGCAGGTTAATTTAGGGAAACTTGCTTTTTCCAGATGGCATCAAGGAAAGCAGACAGTTAATACCAGACACTAAATTCAAAGTCCTACAGTATTTATCTTCAGGTGGTGCGAGAGCTGTTAAGACTCAGGGCCTCCTCTGATCCCTTTCTTAAACCAGCATTCTACTGTGGAATTCTCCATGCTGCTCCCTAAATGTCATGTTTCTCTGTCAGCACATACCAGTGCTGCCCTGAAAGTCAGCAAGAGTCTGCAGCAAAGCTAGCCGAACCATCTTCCCTGCTGCAGGGTAGAGAAACATAAAACAGTAGCACACCCTGCATCTTCACTGTATCAAATGCGTAGCTAATTGAATGCTCAACACTTTACCTGTGTTGAATATTAGTTTAACAAGCTCTACACTACAAATCTCTGAACCCTTTGCACCTCCACCCAGGAACTGTTCACCTGCCAAAATGCTCATGACAGCAATTCCATGCCCATGGGTCCCTATTTCTCTTTTTCTTCTTTGTTGATATGCTGCTGTGCCTTATGTATCTTTTTTGTGTTCAAAGCCAGTATCTTGGAATACACACCGTGACATGAATTTCTCAGTCTTGGTAGATAGAGACTTTCTAACTCTGAATGAAGAAACATACTAACCCAGAGATGACACCAAGTGGGACTAAGCCAGCACTAGCAAGGTTATTAAATATTGCCCACATTAAAACTCCCACCCAAGGAAGCCTGGTGGGGAAGCTCAACCTCTCCAATTAAACACGGTATCCTTAAACCAGCCTGAATATTGAAATCATCGAAGGCAGTCTTTTAAAATACTGATGCCAGATCTCACCCCCTGCCAACTTAACAAGAATCACAGGGAGAGAGACTCAGGACTGGGATTTTTAACAAGTTTTCCCAGGTAATTCCTAGTGTAATTACAAACCACTGATCTGCCCCAGGGGTCAGCAGACCTGTTCTGGCAAGGGTCATGTCTTAAATGTTTTAGTCCTCATGGGCCATTTAGTCTCTATCACAACTCCTCAATTCTGCTGCTATCACAAAAAAGTAGTCAAAATAACATGCAAATGAGCAAGTGCAGCCATGTTCCAGCACAGCTTTTTCTATGAACACTGAAATTTGGATTTTAAGTAACTTTTACATGCCACAAAACAGGAATATGATTCTTGTTTGGATTTTTTTCCAAACACTGAAAATATATCATATTTTTATGATTCTATTGATTTTATGATTGATTTTTATGATTTTAATATATTTTTTACTTAGCATATAGGCCATACAAAAACAGGTACCAGCCCAAATTTGACTCGGCCACAGCTGACTGACGCATTACCCATGCTGAGGATAGAAGCCACTTCTCAATTTCTCAAAAACATTTGCTCAATCAATTGCTCATCATTCCAGTGCAAGATCCCCTTCAACACACGGATACCTTCAGATTCGAGTTGGTCCAGGCCATAGGAGGCCGCTGTGTTACCACGGCTAATGGACGGAACCACAGTTCTTGTCTCCACGGCCGCCTCAGAAGCAGGAAGAGCCAGAGAAGTGCTGGGTGCGCCGACCCACAGTCCAGGGGTTGTCACTGGAGAGTCCAAAACTGGGGTGAACTCCTCATTTGGCCTTGTGACTGTGTCCATCAGGTCTGCCAAACACAAGAGACAGGACTTTACCCACACGATGAGCACTGTGGGAAATGTAACCACGTGCTTCCTTTCACTTTGCAGGAAGAAATGATTAATGAAGCCAGTGTCCTACAGGAGAGCCCCAGGAACTTCACAGAGAAATGGAATTAGGAGCAGACATTTGGTCCAGAGGTCACATCCCCACTTAGGACGCCTTATCTCACACCAGAGTCCCTGGGTTTGAGTCTCAGCTCTGCGTCTGGTCCAGCTTCCCGCTGGTGCACACCCAGGGTGGAAACAGGTGATGGCTCAAGTAGTTGGGCCCCTGCCACCCAGGTTGGAGAACCAGAATGAGTTCCAAGCCTCTAACTTCGACCTGGCATAGCTCTTGCTGTTGTAGGCATTTAGCAAGTGAACCAACAGAGGGAATATGTCTCTCTTTCTCTCACCCTTCCCCATCTTCCAACAAATAAAATAAATATGAACTTTTTAAAAATAGAGTTAAAAGATAAATTTATTGTAGTGCAAAAAGTTTTGAAAGTCTTGTATATAAGGGATCTTCAAAAAGTTCGTGGAAATGCATGTTATGAAAAAATATTCATGGACTTCAATTTTGTGCATCAAAATAAAGTTATCACTTAATTCAATTTTTCTTCTTTTAAAAAAAAAAGATTTACTTATTTATTTGAAAATCAGAGTTACAGAGAGAGAGAGAGAGAGAGAGCGCTTCCATCTGCTGATTCACTTCCCAAGTGGCAGCAATGGCCAGAACCGAGCCAGGCTAAAACCAGGAATCAGGAGCTTCTTCTGGATCTCACACAAGGGTGCAGAGGCCCAAGCACTCAGTCCATCTTCTGCTGCTTATCCCAGGCCATTAACAGGGAGCTGGATAGGAAGTAAAACAGCTGGGACTTGAACTGGCGCCCAAAAGAGATGCCGACATTGCAGGTAGTGGCTTTACCTGCTACGCCACAGTGCTGGCCCCTAGTTAATTCTCCATGAACTTTCTGAGTACAGCCTCACTCACATACAGTCAGTTCAGCACAACACAGTTCAGCTACCTCTTTCCATATCACATTAATCCAGCTGCTCAACACACTTTATCTTCCAGTAAAATAGTTTCTCAAATCAGAACTTCTATGAGATCCTAATCTCCTCTTTATTCTACTGGCAATACTATGTTGCAGGGTCTTACATAATATATACAGAAAATTTAACAAAAACATACTAAAAATATATGCCAAACTCTACTTTGGAAAGACCAAATGTGTTTCTCAAAATCAAGACAAAGAGGAAGAACCTACATCTGTGTCTGGAATATGCTCGGTTTCACGGCAGCCAAACACAGGCCTGGGTATTCCCAAGTCAAGATCCTGGAACAGGGATGGACCCAGGGCCTAGTGGTAAGACAATGACCAAGACTCCCATGACCCATATCAGTGTGTCTGAGCTCTAGCTCCTGATTCCAACTTTTCTCACTAATACAGACCCTGAACGGTAGCAATGATGACTCAAGTGACTGGGATCCTGCTACCCACGTGAGAGAATGGAATCAGTGCTTGGCTCCTGGCTCCTGGCTTTGGCCCAGCCCAGCCCATTCTTAATTATTGCAGGCATTCTGAAAGTGAACCAGCGAATGAGATCTATGTTTCTCAAACTGTGTGTGTGCATCACTCTAACTCTTGAATAAAAAAATAATAATAAAATGTAAGTTTAAAGATTATCTAGAACAGTAGTAACTCGGAAACCTGGCTGATGATCACAATCTCTTGGTGCAATTTTTAAAATGTAGATTCTCATGCTTCTCACATCCCACTTTTCTGAATCACAATCTCTTTGGCTATGAAGACTGAGAGACTATATTTTTAAATGGATCCACAGGGTTTTATACATTTCTGAGAGGAAAATAAACCACAGCAACCACCTTGGCAAACAGTCAGGCATTCACTTCTAACCTGGAACATTCAATTACCCTTCGGCCTGGCATTCCACTCATAAGTATACTCCCAAGAGGAATTCCTGTACTTGAACCACAGAAAATGTTTACAAGAATATTCATAGCAGCAGTGTTCACCATAGCCAAACCTGAAAAGGTCCCTAATGCAAATCACCAAGAGTGGATGAAAACTGGATAAATAAGCTGTCATGTATTTTCACTTTAGAATATTACACAGCAATCGAAAGAACTATAGAAAGAAAGTCTTAGCCATAAAATATTAAGTAAAAAATGCGTGCGGGGCCTTCAAAAAGTTCATGGGAAATGCATCTTATGAAAAACTATGCAGACTTCAAAAAATTTTTGCGGGGCTGGCACTGTGGCACAGTGGGTTAACGCCCTGGCTTGAAGTGCCTGCATCCCATATGGGTGCTGGTTTGAGACCTGGCTGCTCCACTTCTGATCCAGCTCTCTGCTACACCCTGGGGTGGCAGTAGAAAATGGCCCAGGTCCTTGGGCCCCTGCACCCACGTCGGAGACCCAAAAGAAGCTCCTGGCTCCCTGCTTAGGATCGGCACAGCTCTGGCCGTTGCGGCCAATTGGAGAGTAAACCATCAGAGGAAAGACCTCTCTCTCTCTCTCTCTGAGTAACTCTGACTTTCAAGTAAATAAATAAATCTTTCAAAAAAAAAAAAAGAATAATTTTGCAACAAAATAATTTTATCTTTCAATTTCATTTTTCCAAAAACTTCCTGAAGTACACTCCTAAGTCCCAAAAGGTTCATCTATAATGCAATACCCTTTGTGCACAGCTAAACAACTGAGTCAAGTGTTGTGCCACAGCAGGTTAAGCTGCTGCTTGGAAGGCCACATCCCATACCACAGTGCTAGTTCAAGTCCTGGTTACTCTACTTCCCATCCAACTCCCTGCGAATTTGCTTTGGAATCAGCAAATGATGGCCTTGCCATCCATGTGGGAGACCAGGATGGAGTCTCTGGTTCTTGGCTTTTACCAGGCCTAGCCCCAGCCCAGTTAGGCAGTGAACCACTGATGGCAGGTCAATCTCGATCTCTCAACCTCTCTCTCTCTCTCTGTGTCACTGATTTTCAAGTAAATTTTTTTAAAAAAATCTAAAAAGAACAATTCTGAAACCCATACCAATTTTTTTTAGAATATATCTTTTCTATGAACTTTTTGGATGCATGGATTTCAAAAAATTTTTTGTCCTGAATCCCACTCCTAGGCATAAACCCAACAGAAATGAGTGATGTTTATAACATGTTTGTACAACAATGTCATTAATTGTATATTCATAGCTTTATTCCTTGGAGCCAAACTTTGGAAGGAACAAAATTCCCAGACAGTAGACAGTAACAGACAAATAAACTGTCAACGAAATATAATAGAGCAATGAAAATGGATAAAATACTGCTATATGTAGCAATGTAAGTGAGTCTCACAAATGTGATTTGAGTAAATGAACACAAAGAGAATACAAAAAAATTTTTTTGCCCCAAAATAAACATATCTTTCAATTCCATTTTCCAGGAACACTTTGGAATACCCTCATCCTATGGGGGCCAAGGCCAGAATCCAAACCCAGGCCGTTGGTCTTTTCACCCCCGGCTTCCAGTAGCAGAGATGCTGCTGCATAGGGCAGAGTTCTCAGGAAAGATGGCCCTTCTGGGACCAAAACCTGAGCCCCCGGGGGATTTGTCTAATGAACTAACCCCTTATCCTCCGGGGCTACACCCACCTCTCCAAATCACACAGTCCACCTCCCTCTCCCATTAGGGGCATGTGTGGCTGGCAGCAGGGCCAGCCGCCCCACTCAAGCTATCCCTTGTTAGTATCTAGAAAAGGCCCACCCCCAAACATGGAAACACCAATCTCCCCCTTACAGACCTTCCGCAGCTGGGGTCACGTCCACAGACAAAGGCACGGCTGTAGTTGAGACTGTGGTGGCCAGGGGCTCCCATCTTCCCGATAGCTCAGTGACCCCAGGAACGTCGGACCCGGGAGCAGGCGACTCCTGGGCTTCCTCAGGCTCATCGCTGCCTCCAGGAACCTCTTCTTGTGTCACCAAGGATAAAGGGGCTTCTGGTTCTTGAGTAGCTGTTGTCGTTTCCTGAGTGATATCTTAAAAGAGGGAAACATTTTTTTTTTTTTTGACAGGCAGAGTTAGACAGTGAGAGAGAGACAGAGAGAAAGGTCTTCCTTTTCCGTTGGTTCACCCCCCAAATGGCCACCAAGGCCGGCGCACTGAGCCAATCAGAAGCCAGGAGCCAGGTGCTTCCTCCTGGTCTCCCATGCGGGTACAGGGGCCCAAGCACTTGGGCCATCCTCCACTGCCCTCCCGGGCCACGGCAGAGAGCTGGACTGGAAGAGGGGCAACCGGGACAGAATCCGGCGCCCCAACCGGGACTAGAACCCGGGGTGCAAGCGCCGCAGGCAGAAGATTAGCCTAGTGAGCCGCGGCGCCGGCCAAAAGAGGGAAACTTTAAAATCAACCAAAATCCTAGTCAGTATATGGAGGTACTTCAAAAAGCTCATGGAAAAATGGAATTAAAAAGATAAATTTGCTTGAATGCAAAAGAAATTTGAAATCCATGTAGTTTCTTTCAGAATATTCACTTTGCTATGAGCTTTCTGAAGACCCTTACATAAACAACTAATTTTTCAAAGCAGATGGCTACTTCATGGATTAGAGAAACAAAGGGGAAACTCAGAAATAAAATACCAGTAGATAAATGTTACTTTCAGGGCTGGCGCTGTGGTGTAGCAGGTAAAGCTGCCATCTGCAGTGCCAGCATCCCATACAGGTGCTGGTTCGCGTTCCAGCTGCTCCACTTCTGATCCAGTTCCCTGCTAACACACCTGGGAAAGCAGCAGAAAATGGCTTAATTCCTTGGGCCCCTGCACCCACATGGCAGACTCAGAGGAGGCTCCAAGATCCTGGCTCCTGGCTTGAGATCTGCCCAGCTCCAGCCATTGAGGCCATTTAGGGAATGAACCAACAGATGGATGATCAAACTCACTCTCTCACTCTATAACTCTGCCTTTCAAATAAGTAAGTCTTTTTTTTTAAAGTTACTTCTATTTTTAAAGAATTATTTTTTATTTACCTGAAAGGCAGAGTTGGGGGAGGGGCAAGACAGAGGTCTTCCATCCACTGGTTCACTCCCCAAATGGCCACAACAGCCATGGCTGGACCAAACCAAAGCTAGGAGCCAGGAGCCTAGAGTCTCTTTCAGGTGTCCCCTGTTGAGTGCAGGGGTCCAAGGACTGGGGCTACCTTCTGCTGCTTTCCTGGGCCCATGAGCAGGGAGCTGGATTGGAAATGGAGCATTCAGGTCTTGAACTGGTACCCACGTGGGATGCTGGCACTGCAGGTGGAGGCTCAACCTACTATGTCACAATGCCAGTCCCAGAACGTCACTTCTTTCAGGAGCTAAGAATCAACCTAAGAAGAAGTTAATGTAAAACCCTAGAATGAAATGCAAACAAGAGGAAGATCAACCACTGAGCTCCCTTTCAAAGTTTGAATACAACATAATCAGTTTGTCAAGAAACAAATTATGCAGAACTAAATTACACCCAAAATTCTCAGAAGCATTTGCATATATTAATTTTCACAACTGCATTTCTGAAGGATAATGCAAAGTTAGCACTTTAAAATAAAGGAACAACAATTGTGAGAACTTATGATTACTGAATTCTAATGTGGGCCACACACACACAGCTATGTGTACTGTGTACATTATCTCATTTGATCTTCCCTAATATACTAAGAGGAGGTTGGTGCCAACATCATTCCATGGAAGCTGTACATCACAGGCCCAGGTCATGAACACAGGTTCCATAGGCAGAGCTTGTGGTGCAGTAGTTAAGACACCTACATCGCCTGCTGGAGTGCCTGGTAGCCAGTCCCTGCTCCACTTCGTATCCAGCTTCCTGCTATTCTGCATCCTATGAAGCAGTGGATGACGGCTTGCCCATATATGTGAGAGATCCTGATGGAATTCTGGGCTCCTGGCTTTGGTCTGGCCCAGTCCTAGAGGCTGCAGGCATTTGAGGAGTGAACCAGCAGGTGGAAGATCTCTATATCTCTATGTCTACCTCTTCTGCACTCTGTGCCACTCTTTCAAACCAAATTTAAAGATAAAACAATATGGGCTCTGGAGCCAACATTCCTGGGTTTTGATTCTGACTCAGCACTTATTCACCGTGTGATCTTACACAAATTACTTACCATCACTGGGCCTTGAGATTCCTCGGTTCTAAATTGGGGATAATATATCTATCTCATAGAGTTGTTACAAGAGTTAAATTAGGTAGCACGTGCAAAACAGTTAGTGCATTCAGTTCTTGATACATATTTAATTATTACTAGCTATTACCACTGGGTTTACAGAAGCTAAGGAACCTAAGCTTTTAGACTTAGGGTTCCTAAGCATTGTGCTACGCCCCAGGAACAACTCAGAGTGGTCTCCGAAGACCTGCATTCACCTGGGGATCAGAACAGGGAATGAGGGTCGGTGCTGTGGCACAGCAGGCTACACCTCCAGCTGTGGCACCTGCATCCCATATGGGCACCAGTTCATGTCCCGGCTCCTCCTCTTCCGATCTACCTCCCTGCTATATCCTGGGAAAGCAGTAGAAGATGGTCCACATGCCTGGGCCCCTGCACCTGCACCTGGATGAGAGACCCATGAAAAGCTCCTGGTTCTTGCCTTTGGATTGGCCCAGCTTCAGCCGTCGCAGCCACCTGAGAAGTGAAGCAGCAGATGGAAGACTTCTCTTTGTCTTTCCCTCTCTCTGGCTGTAACTCTACCTCTCAAATAAATAAATAAAATCTTTAAAAAATATATCAGGGAATGAAATAACGCTATAAAGTCTGACCTTACCTGTCATAGATCCAGCCTCTTTACCACATTATAATCCCTCAAACACATTATCAAAACCATAGGGTCAAGATTGGCCTCCTCCTTAGAGGGGAGGAATGCTGAACAACAGCTAAAAGACTTCACTATCTTTTTTTTTTTTCTAACAAGTATTAGTCCTGAATACACAGCATGCTCCTATTAGCAAGTTCAATAAGTCACACAATAAAAACTAATATTCTAGGGAAAGCTGAAGAACGCGTTCTGAAAGTTTTCATTAATGACATGGTATTTAAATTTTTTTCCACAGAAATAATTTATTTGCTCTAAAAGTGTGTGTGTGTGTGTGTGTGTGTATGTATCTGTTCCAGGAGAAGCAGTTCTTCCTCTTGGTACTCATCCAGTTTGGACTATTTTTTCCTTTGAATTGAAGAGAACTGCACATCTACCAGGTTGACAATACCTGCCTACCGGGCAAATAATGTTAGGGAAAGGTTCCTATATGAGCTTCATATTTGCTTTTTATAGCATTGGGGTTTGTTTTCTTTTTTTTCTTTTTTGGTCTTCCTTTTTCCAATAAGGCTGCAAATCTCTTTCAAATCCAGGACTCGCTGCCTTCCTGTACTTCCAGCACCCACGGCAGTAGTGTATTTACACCAAGACAATAACACAGGTCTAGCATGTCCTGCAGCACAGTTCTCCACGATTCTGAAAGTGTAATGAGCACTTCTGAGAAGAAATATGGAAAGTCTCTTTTCACAGTTATATGAAGTAGCAAGAAATGTCCACACGTATAATGTCTTCAATAAGTGACTGTTGTTAAGAGGGGGAAAAAAAGAGTGGGAACCAGAAATAGCAATGGGAATTTAAAAAATATTTTCACTTTCCCAAAATCTCTCACTCTTTCTATATCCTGTAGAGAAAAAGTAATATAATACTCACTGTCGCTTATTTTTAAAGCCTGGTCTTCCATTGACTCGACTGGAGAAACTAGCTCAATCGGAGGACTGACCAGAATAAGCTCATGACCTGTTTACAATATCCAAAACTCACTGCATGTCTTTAGGACGTTAATGTCCCAAGTGGTTCTGTCCTAAAATGATCAGTATTTGAGTTGTTTCCTTCAGAAAGACACTCAGAGTCATCAGAAACCAGGTAGAAAAACTTTCCGGCAATTCTGTAACTACTGCTGTTAATAATCACAATCTTTCTCGTTCTTTTGAACTCTGTGGGACCAAAAAGATTAAAATGGAAAGACCATCCTTCTCTCTAAACAGCTTGCAGAAACTGTGGTTAGTTCGGCAAGTGAGGCGGTCAAACTGCATGAGCCAGTGTGAAGGGCTCCCCGTCTTCACCTCCTCACCCTCTGAACAGGTATCTTCTGAGCACCTCCTGTGCACCAAGCATTGTGTGATGTGCAGGGACTAAAATACGTCGCTGCTAAAGACGGCAGCTAAGTGAGACGACTGTGACTAAGGAGCATGTTCAATAAGCAAAATAACCAGACGAGTACCAAGTCCATTTACTTTTCAGGCTGTATTAACAGACACTAACACATGTTAGTACAGTATCAGGAATCAAGGGTTCAGTTGTGCAATCTGGGAATACATGACTTAATGCTCCAGAAGCATCTCTCATAAACACTGTAGAGAGTTAGAGCCAACTTGTTCCATCGTACCTAATACGCGTCTGTACGATTATGTGGTCCTAACTTACATCATACAAAACAAAAAGTATTTTCTGGAAGCTCCTATGAAAACATTCAGCATACCAGGTCTTCCAGTCTTTAACACATGAATTAGAATGTAAAATTCCATCTGCAAAATAACCTCATCATTTTCATTCAATCTTAATAACATTTTAAAAAGTGTATTACTAATTTGATATTTTCCATTAATTATGCTATTTGGCGGAAGTAAAGTGTTGTGTGCGGTCCAACACAATCTGCAATGAGTGTGTGCATGTCATACTAAGGTTTTCCTTACTTATGCTGTTATTTGACTGATTACACATAATAAAAGAAAAACATTACCCATCAGCAACAAATATGAGGCTCACCAACATGATTATTCACAAATGCAGAGGCCAAACAAAACGAAAAACGTAAAATCAAGGCAGCAGATAGCACCTTCCTCCAACCCCTTATTTTAGATGAATTCTTTTTGGGAAAATAAAAGTTAAAGAATTCACATGGTCAATATATGAGATAAATACCTAAAGCCTTTTTTGGAAGAAATAACAGAAATGAGAGTATATGATGGTGCTTCAAATGGTTTATGGAGAAAATGGAGTGAACAAAATGTTTAGTTTGTATACAAAAAACTTGAAATACATGCATGGTTTTTCATAAAATGCATTTTCAATGAACTTGTTTGAAGACTCCCCTGCATTTTACAACCAAGTGCAATATATACCCTGTATTACTATACTGCTTAATTATACAGCTAATCCTATGTTATATATTTATATGTTTTCACAATAAACTTTTTGAGAAAATATGAGCCTAATATCAAGGTTTCTCAATCTCAATGCTATTGACATGTTGGCTCAAATGATCCTTTGCCATGCAGTGCTGTCTTGTGCATTGTAGAAGGCGGAGCCACATCCCTGGCCTCTGCCCACCAGAAGCTGGGAGAACCCCTCAGCTGTAGCAGCTAACAGTGTCTTCAAGCACTGCAGTATGTCCCCTTGGGAAATGAGGGGACAAAACTAGACCCAGTGGAAGATCACTGGTCTACATGCAGGGGTTATATTTAAGCATCATTTTTATTTTTAAAAAAAGGCACATGATTTGTATATTTTTGCTTTTCCTTAAAACAACCTATTTCTACAATGCCATTTTATAAAAGCAAAAAAAAAAAAACTACATTGAAATATTTCAAATTAAACAAAGCTTGTTTTTCCTTTACCTTTCAGTGTATTTCTCAGCGGCTGATATGCCTCAGACTCATATTCGGAGACGGAAACGGTGGTCTCTGAGAAAAGTGTAACATCATTCTCTTGGGTGGGTTCCGGGAAGTCTCCCGCACTTGGGAACAGGTTCACAGCGGAAGCCCTTGTATCCTCCAGCAGACTTGTGGGGGTACTGGAACTTGGACCGATGAAGGCGGGTGATCTCTCATCCCCAGGTGCTACTGGCAGGGCTGTCCCCAGGTGTGTCTCCCCTTCAGGCAGTCCCTGAGCCCCCTCTGTAGCTTCTGTGAAAGCGTAGCCCCTGTCCAGGCCACCAGGGCTTGCTTGCGCTGTCTGAGATGTTCCCATTCCCACCTTAGTCTCTGTATCGTCTCCCAGCTTTGGGGTCCTTACCTGGCTTGCACCAGGGCTTACTTGCACTGTCTGAGATGTTCCCATTCCCACCTGAGACTCTGTATCGTCTCCCAGCTTTGGGGTCCTTATCTGGCTTGCACCAGGGCTTACTTGCACTGTCTGAGATGTTCCCATTCCCACCTGAGACTCTGTATCGTCCCCCAGCTTTGGGGTCCTCATCTGGCTTGCACTCTCTAATTTGGTGTCGTCCCACTCATCACTAGAGACGAAGGCAGATGGAACAGCTGTGCTGACACTCATGGCGACGTCCCAGGCTCCTGGCAGACTGGCAGCGTCTGGCTCAACACTCAGGGTGTCCTCAGAAGTTGCGAGCGAGGACTTGGTGGCAGTAGCCTGGGTATTATCAGCTGTCAACTGGGAAGGCTTCTCCCTATCAGGCGTGAGGCTTCCAGGCTCGGTGCTTGCTGCAGACTTAACAGAAGGAAAAGAAGTTGTCCTGTCATCTGCGTCCGCCTCCAATTCCTCAGCCCTGGGGTGGGTGGTTAGCATGTCCTTAACAGTCACATGGGATAAAGGTGAATGTCCCTGACTTTCCATTGCAAATGACGGACTAACCATATCCCTAAGGAAGCCTTGCGTTGCTGCGGGGGTCCCTTCCACAGTGGCCTGAATGCCAGTCCTGCTAAAGGGCTCCTCCTTCTCATCAGTCTTCGGAGAACCGGTGACCATGACAGCAGTGGGTGACATGGCCTTGGGAGGTCTGCTTCCAGGAGACACTCTCGCTGGCTGGCTAGAACCAGACACTTCTTCACCTGCTGGGATGCCTGGCTCGGTAACAATGTAAACACCAGGGCTATTGGGTTGCAAGACCCCGGCTTCTGTAGGGTGGGTTTCTTTGTGGATGGAGAATATTTGATGCAATGGTGTTGCTGCGGATGGTCCTTCCAACGCTATCATTGGATCTTTGGAGACTGTTAGTCGGGGGGTCTTCTGGGAAGCAACAGAGCTGTTTTCCAAGTCGTCCGCATCCATCCCCTCCGACTGCACTTCTCCTGCAGGAACTTGTGCTATCTCCCTGCTTGCTATTTTGGGGAAAGCCAGACATTGTGTGGCAAAGCTGAGAAGCAGAAGGCTACAGCAGGCCAGATAAATGTGCAAGACAATTGGTTTGCTCATAGTGGAAGAGAAATGTGCACCTAAATTGGCAGAGCTGACAATTCCGATGATTGAGTCCTGCAGCAAAGGAAAACATGTCAGACTGTCGTACGTTGCAAATAACACCCTTTAAATCAAATTGTAAGTAAAATAATCTCCTTGTAACATACCGAGAGAGGGTAGGTTTTAGAGGGCTGCTCTATTTTTTTGCACCTTTGAGACATGAATAACCCAGTTCACTTTTCCCTGCTGAATTCTGCAGCTGATTTAACTTGCAGCTCCCTAGACAAAGGTACACAAGTTCAAGTGTTCAGTTCATTGTTTCTTAAACACCTACTTGAAATAAACTGCCCTTGAGGTCACACTGGCAATTTTCTCTCCAAATCTCCCTCTCTAGCCAAATGACTGCAAAGATAACAAGATGTCCAAGATACAGAAAGTAAATAGCACACATGCATTCAAAGGACATTTGAAGTGTCCACAGGGTCTGAATGCTTGTGTGCCCTGAAAAGCCATGTCTGGAAACCGAATCGCTAATGATGGCGTGGGGAAAGTGCGGCTTTCAGGAAGCGGTTAGATCAGAAAGGTGGTGATGCCCTGAGAAACAGCCCCAGAGAGCCCCTCCCCCTGCACCAGGTGAGGACACAGTGGGAAAGTGTCTTCTGGGAACCAGAAACCAGGCTCCCCCCAGACGCCAGATCTTAGTGCCTCGACCTTACGCTTCCCAGACGGCAGAACTCTGAGAAGCAAACTTGTAAGCCACCTCATTTACATTTTTGGTGTATCAGCCTGAATAGTGTAAGACAAGTACACCTTACAACTTATGAAATGCTGTCATAAAATGCTGAGTAGCAGTTACTTTCAAGAGTTTAAAGCAATATGTAGGCCGGCGTCGTGGCTCGGCACACCGGGTTCTAGTCCCGGTCGGGGCGCCGGATTCTGTCCTGGTTGCCCCCCTTCCAGGCCAGCTCTCTGCTGTGGCCCGGGAAGGCAGTGGAGGATGGCCCAAGTGCTTGGGCCCTGCACCCGCATGGGAGACCAGGAGAAGCACCTGGCTCCTGGCTTCGGATCAGTGTAGCTCTGGCCATAGCGGCCATTTGGGGAGTGAACCAATGGAAGGAAGACCTTTCTCTCTATCTCACTAACTCTGTCAAAAAAAAAAAAGTATTTTTGGAAAAAAAAAAAACAAAACATAGTATAAAATTAGCAATCTACTGAATGTCCATAACTGGAAGATAAGGTTATACCTCTCAAATACTATCATGCTTTCATACACTAAAACAGTATGAAAAATGTTTG